CCTGCGGGCGTCAAGACGCGCCATTGATCGCAAGCAATCTCTGCATGAGAACTTTCCCTTCCACCCTCACGACCGGGACGAGTACATCAGCCCGGGCGAGGTGGTAAAGTTGGAGATTGGGATCTGGGCGATGGGGGTGGAGTATGAAGCCGGGGAGAGCGTGCGCGTGGAGATCCATGGGAACAGCCCGCTCCTGCGGGGAGAATTCAAGGAGGATAACGAATTTCAGGAGCTGGCGTCGCACGGGACGCATATCGTTCACATTGGGGGAGAGCAGTCTTCGCATATCATCCTGCCGTTTGTTTGAGATGTAGTACTATTATAGAGATATCACGCGATGAACGATAAAGAACGAGACACCAGCCAGTACTCAGATTACGAAAGTGATTGTAGATATACCAGAAATAGAAGCAAGAAAATTGATTGATTAACGAATTTATTCCTGTAACTGTCGCAGAAATCTGATTAAACGAAGGAGAGCCCTCTCATGCACGTACGCCCAGCGAGCGTACGATCAAGGGTCATACCAACGGGTCAGGGGACACCACCAAGTAAAATTTTGAATCAGAGATGCCTTCATCGCGTCCGTGAATAACAAGGTATGGTGTGCCGAACGCCTTTCTCAGCCTCGCTCCATCCCGGGATTCCCAGCAGCCCTTAAACCCCGAAAGTACCTAGGAGTTTGGAGTGAGAGGAGAATGGAAAGGGGAAATGAATTGGTACACTCAACACTACTGTTACTACTACATAGTAATAAGTAGTAACGCCATACCCTCTTGGGCCTCCATGGAGAAGATTGACGTTGGAGGGGAGTGGGGAGGGGCGAAGAGAGAGTGAGAGAGAGACAGGGAGATAGGGAGATAGGTACGGGGTATGAAGGAGAATGAGAACAACTGCTTCTCTTCCCCTTCCCCACTCCAGAATAGGTAAAAGGAAGGTGGTCTCAGGACTGGTCGAAACATGAGAAGCAGAAGTTTTGTTCTAACAAAGGCCCGCGGGAGTTGCTCGCATTAGCCCAGCTCACTGATTAGTTAGACGAAAGCATCCAAATTAGTGAGAGTCACTAAAAAGAATTACCTATCGTTCCTACACAACATGCATACTTGCAGGAATGGATGCAATCAAAAGTAGGTTTATTTGTGACAGGCTGTGAGCTATGATAGAAACGGGGGTGGGAGGGGGGCTCGATCCGAGCACCGATCTCTGCCTGATCCCTGATTCGTGTTGGAAGAAGTGACATGTTGAGTTGTTTTATTGCAGGATACTGGCCATGGGTGTGCGATCATTCATGTCAAATTAGAAATGATGGCAATTTGGGCTACAGCCGTGGACTTGGGATGTGCCTTCAATCATCTTATCATGGCGTGCAGTCGATGATGCTCTCCGAGCCACGTATGGCAGACAGGCTGTTGGTAGGTAGTAAAATGCCTAGCAGTAGTAAGAGGTACCTAGTTGGTAGTAAGCTAGCCATATATCTCAATCGGGAAGGAAGGATCAGACAGCCAGTGAAAAGTAATCAAACCAGTTCCGAAGCGCCACACGTGTGTGTTGCCCATCAGTTGCCCATCAGCTCCTGCAGCGAGAAAGCACACATGATACCTAGTAGAATAGAAACAGCCTATTGTCTAAGAGAACATTCAACAGGGAGGAATGCATGGTTCAAACATGGCCAGACCACTCAATGAACAGCTAGTACAGTATATTCCGGAATTTCCAATGGACCATTCGCTAACGACGCTATCTAGTTACTCCACCCTCTATATCCCTAGGGGAAGATCCGCCGTAATCCCAGGCCCGGTCATCAGCCCGGCAGAAAACGTAGGGGGGCCCCCCCATGGAAGAAAGCTGTTTTCCATTGTCAGACAGTCTGATCCCTGTCGTCCTGGCATGGCGAAATAATGATGGGGATCTGCACAGCCAACAGCATTGCCCAGGTCGAATGACTCGGTTGATAACCGTGTGACTGGCACTGACACATGAAAGGATGATATCACGGACGCCGTCGCGGGTGGTGTTGTGGTAGTGGACGGATAACCATGACCATAGGTTATTTTTTGTAGTGGTGGTTGTGTGATCTCACGCTGACAGTTGTCCTTTCGCAGCTCATCTTCGCCTGATGGGCGCCCACGGAGCTTGGCCTTAATCTTCGTAGCTTTCCCTCCTTTCGCCCCTGACCGCTGGCGCTGAGGTGCTGGTGGGTCTGAGATCGATGTCTTTTTGTTACTCGCTTGCTTTCGGTACCGTGTGGTGGACTGGACGCCATATTTGACGGCTTCTTCCGTTAGGCGCCAGTAGTTCTGGGGCTTCTTACCGGGTTCCTCCTCTCGAACAGCTTCGAACCCCTATCGGAAGATGCACCGTGTCAGTCATCGGGTCAAGACCAAGGGCCTGAAACGAACAGCACAAGCAATCGTGGAGAATCGCGAAGTAGCATCACCTACCGCATTCATTGAGAGGTTGTGTCGGACGCTGTTCTGCCAGCCTTTGGAAGCACGATCCTTTCCTTTTACTGTACGCTTCTCAAACCAGCTGTAGATATCCTGAAGCGTAAGCTTTTTATCGGGAGCCTCAAGGAGGGCTTTCTCGATAAGGCAGGAATATGGGGCCTCCGAGTTTGCCTCCTCTCCGATGTCGTCAAGACTAGGTCGTGACTCCTCATGGTGGGGCCCTGGTCCGTTTGCATGGGTCTTCACCTTGTCAGATAGGAACGAACGATGACCTGAGCTCGGAAAAGCCAGTGACGGTGGTGGCAACCGTGGGGTAGGACAAGCCGTTTTAAAGGTATTTGGCCGTGTTGGATACGGTGCAGCTATCTGAGAAGGTACGGAATAGGTGCCAGATTCAAGCGAGCATCCAGGTTGCTGGGTTCCTGGCGTCCGCGACCAGAGCAGAGAGTTTCTGGTGCTTTCGTAACTGCTTCCTGGTTCGAGCTTTACTTGTTTCGACTCCGGGCAACTGGGTGCGGTCGAATGCGATGACCACTCGGAAGACTCAACGCCGTGAGTAGGAAAGAGACTTGGCACTTCCTCCTCAGATGAAGCGCTGGATGGTGAAGAAGAAGAGGGTCGGTATAGCGGTGCCTTCCACAGAGTTGTGGTATGATAATGATGTTGTTGTTGGAGGTGGTAGTGAGACATCGCCGTCTCTGAACTGCCGGAATGGGAACTCGTCCAATTTCCGATTGCTGAACAGGGATAGACATGGTGAGAAGGGGTCAAACGAGCGCTATCTGTTACAGGTGAGGGAGGGGTCACTGTTTGTCTCGCAGGCTCAATCTGAGAAGAAGCCCGGCCGAATGGAAGTGAGTCCGGGTGTGAGCTGAGAGGAGGAGAAGGATAGAAACGATCCATAATGTGCTTGTGCTTGTGCTTGTGGCCTTGTGCTAGTAGTATGAGCCAGGATGAACGCAATTTGTGACGAGAGCTGGGTCAATGACTAGTTCAGAGTAACATGAGAAGAAGTGTAGCTTCACAGCGGAATAAAAATATTATATAAATTTAGTGAGACTTCGACGACACCCTTGCCTCTAGAGTCCCATCAAGTAGCTTGCTGCAAAATAAAGGGTTCTTTCTGAACAAAGGAAAGGAGGGTTAGGAGGGGTTGGCTCCAAAATCGCCTTCAAATTAAGTCAAAAAAAAAAAAATAGACGTGTGACCACTGAGACGAAGGGAGCCCGATCTTGCAAATGAAGCTGTGAGGCAAAAGAAAATGCCAGCTCATAATGTACAGTACAAGCTTGGTCTTTTTGATCTCTTCTTTCCTTTCCTTTTCTTTTTCTTTTGAGGTCTGTCTACGGTATCAGTCCCTCCCTCAGTATGTCTGACTTTCTCTCTCTCCTGCTAACCCTCTTTCTTCTTTTGTAGGCTTGCAATTAGTCAGTCTTTGCACATATTTAGTCCTTAAAAACAAGGATGAGGTTGAACAAGATGTCAAGATCGCCCTTTCCCACAGCCCAGGAGGAGGGGAGGGAAATGGTAGACATTAGTCAGAAAAGAATCAGGATGATATCAATGGTCTACCAGCCAACCTATTCTATCATGTGTTGAAAATGTAGCTGCATTGACAACCGCGGGAGTCGCCCCCCATAAGGTTGTGAAACCGAACTGGTATTCTAGTCCACTTGCAGTGCAGTCGAAGACCATGAAATCACGAATGCCCAAACGGAGGCTAGATCTGGTCCGAGGGGGCTTGCGATGGCGGTCCCTGGGTGGCCTGCCGCGCCATATGGGCCGGGGTCATGCACGTATTAATGAGGATGGCGATACCGGAAGCCTGCAGATACATTCTACCATCCACCAAAAATGAAAAATAGAAAAACAAAAAACAAAGAAAACAAAGGGCAATTCGAAATTAGCTGCAGAACTTTTCTCAGAATTGGAGATAACTCCTCTCCCTTCCCTCTTCCTCAAGCCATGAGAAGTCTTTAGAGAGTTGTCCTGCAGATACTAGGTACACCACTGCTTCTCCCGGTTTCCCCGTCCAGCCGGAACCTTAGAACAATACGCAATGTTTCCCCAAAGCCGCATCAGGTGTTACCACCATTCCCAAGTCCACGACGACCATGCGAGGGAAGCATGAGGTCCCCCGCCTCAATTCTGATTTGTTGCACGTGATATACACCAGCGCTGCCCAGGGTGGGGGAGCCTTTGCTGGAGAGAGTGGAGGCACGGAAAGCATTTCTGACCGAATATATACAGATCTCGAGTGCAGTGTAATTAAGCATCGACAGGTATTCCGTGAGTGGAGACCACGATCTGCGCGCCGGATCATGTAGTAGCTTGAGATCGAATATGATACATCTTAGCTTGGCTGGGATAGAGTCCAATACGTGATCAGATGGATTAAGTTTGCAGTCCAATCAGAAGAGCGAGAACGGCTCTTCGCTGTACGCGGACGAATTCGTCCCTGTGGAACCCAGACCTGACGATATTTTGCCTCTGGCATACGCTAGGGCTTTTCGTGCGTTCCATACCGCCGAAACTTCGAAAATCGCCTTGATTTTACTTCCGGTAGTAGATCTGGATAATCGAGTTAGTATAGCACCGGGATGAGACGTCGATCAGGGACTCGACTCACCCGCTTGAATTGAAAATGTAGTTGCAGAATTCCCTGCCGACACCGTCAATTCTCATTTTCTTTGTACGAAAAAAAGGGGGATGTAACGTACTTTGTCGAAAGTACTCTTGAAACCGCGTTCTCGCTTGGCACTGTAATCCCACTCCTTATCCACAATGCGAAAGGCGATATCTTCATACGGTGGGCCGGCCATAAAACGAATGAGACAAGTATCTTCTTCCCCTGCTTCCGCAAAGGACTGACCGCGCTTACGGCCATTTTCCCGCTCGATACGGTAGGTCGGAGCTTTGGTCTTGTCAATCAGATCTGGGTAGAATATATTGAACTTGTAGCCCTGGACGACTTTCGGGGGTGGGTTGTCGTGGTCATAGTGGGTTTGGTTGTACTTGTTCCACTCGTAGCCCATTTGAACACGGTTGAAGTACCGCGGCTTGCGGGGTCGATACTTGCCTGCCCACAAAGGTTGGGCGCCGGAGCTTACAGCTTCCTCGCCAGTGAAGATCTCTTCGTTTTCACTCACTCCCTTCGCCAATTCGCGTTCATAGAGGGCCTTGGTCGCTTGAGAAAAGTCATCGTTGGGGATGGCCGAGAACCTAGTTAGGGCGCTAGGAACTGGCATGTTTGTTGCTTGGTTCAGGGGAGTAGCCGAAGGCTTCTCCGCATGTCGCTGGCGCAGCGGCACAAATCCCATCTTCAAGATTTTTTGTCGTTCCCGGGCCTGCATAGTGTTGGCATCAGTCTTTCGAGGGTTGATTTATGATACATGGTGCAATTAGACTGACCACTTGACCAAGAAAAGCACTTTCATCGACAATCTCCAGTATCTTGTCCTCTGGACGAACCTGAAGCAATGGGTCCGGATCGAGACCTTCAAAGTCGTGATGATCGGGTTGAGCGTCACTCCCCGAGGGGGCCCGGATAAAGGGAGCCAGCGGAGCGAGCTTCGCTCGCACAGATTCGGCCTCCTCGCACTGTTGTGTGCGCAGCCCCTTAACTCTCTCATCTATGACATCTTGAAACACTTTCTTCAGCTTGGCGCGAGCTTTCCAAACAGTGAGACTGCGCAGAAGTTCTTCCCAGTAGTCTGTGTCGATGGGTTCGTTCGAATCCAACTTTCTCCTAACTTGCACCTCGAGTGTCTGAAGTTGTTCGTAGGACTTGGGACTCAGCAATCGGTTGATGTCGGAAGCCACGGAGCTGAGCGCACGACCTTCAGGCCCGGTGATCTTTTGGCGATCTCGACAGATGACCTTCATCGTCTGCGCCAGAAAAGATAGTGGTTAGCATCGTCTAAACAACATCCTGACCAGCCGGAAGACCAGAGGAGACCTCATACCTTCCAAAACTCCCGGTTCTGCGAGTTCTTCTCCAGACCCAAGAAGGTATCAATATCCTTCTCTAGATCCAGCAACTGTGCCGCCGACAGTCCTTCAAAGACACCATCGGGGTCCACCAGATCGAGCTCCGAATCGGCGATTTCATCATCTAGAGGGTTCCTCGTAGGATCGATCACCCGTAGAGTAACAGTGAGCCAATCGATCGGCTTGGCTCTGCCTTCCTTCACCCGGATCTCTGCCTTCTTTTTGGCCTGCTTGAGAACGAAGATGTCCTCCTGCGCCACCCATTCTCGGACCTGCTCATCTTCCTGAAGCTGATTGAGCCGCACCTGGTCCTTCATATTCCGCGGTCGCGACTGCGACGGACGACCTTCTTCGCCTCTCCAGGCCCTGCTGGAGTCGTATTGCTGGTCTCGGTCGTCATATCGGCGTGGGTGCTTCTGAGGATGACGCGACGGGGAGCGAGAACGGCTGCGCTTCGAGCTTGCTCGCTCGGGAAATCGCGATGACATCCTGTTGGGGGGAGGCCCAGGATGATTCCGAATCTCTCGTGAGTATACGATAGTAAAGCAAAAACAAAATTAAGAAGAAGAACGAACAGAGTTATTCAGTGGCTGTCAAATGAGAAGCAGGCTCTCCAAGTTGCACTGTTATCGGACAGTCCAGAGATCGGGTTGACAGCTTCCCGCACCAGGAAGGTCAATCGATCGCGCCGCCGCCGCGGCAAACCTTCTCTATCAGCACGTGCATCTAATCTATTGCCTACCAACCCGCTGATGCCTTAAATAGCGGCTCTTACTTCTCAACTTACCTACCATTCTAAAGCAGACCCAACCAGTCGCGGTCAAAATGCCTTCGAGATGGCACAGACTGCATTTCTCATCCTCTGGCAATGTCCCCACTCTCTTGTATCAGTTTACCTTCACTGTGGACGGATATGAGCTGTATATCACCGACCTTACATACATATGGTCGGAACATTTGGATCGTAAATCTATACTGCGACGAGCAGATGAAGACGACACCACCATCGACCCCAGTGAGGATAACGATCAGCTCACAGTGCTACTACAGAAGATAGAAGAGGCGCTGCATCATGACTCTGGGCATAGTGCTGCGCTCAGCCGGGGCTCAGAGGGTGCGAGCCTACACCTGCTCACCACAACAAAGCTCCCGGCTCCGCTCAACCCTCTCCGATGGAGGTTTTACTTGTCCCAGAACCCTCATTCTGCGACCACTGACCATCTGCTCTTGCCGCTGGTGAAATCTGAGACCGTATGGCAATCGCGGGAACAGGTTTTGATCGACCAGCTCATGAAGAAAGACTGGGTCTTAGGGAAGCTCTTCGACAAGCTCGAAGCTCTAGCTATCGACATTGGCACAGTCTTCCCTGGCGTCTCCGGTCATTGTCCGGGACAGAAAGACACGATGCTGTCACATACTGCCAAATACATCAAAGGGGTCGAGCCATTCGACAACGACTCCTGGATTCGCGAGACCAATGTATCCTTTCCCGAGCTCAGCTCCGCGGCCAATCTTGCCACGGAAGCCACTGGCTCCGGGGTTGGTGATGCCGACAGAGTGCGAGACCTCACTGCGCCAGCAGACGGATGGTGGAAGCAGCTCTCAACTGCAGTCGTCGACTCATCGTCCGACAATGAGGCCCGGAAGCCTGCCGTAGAGAAGCGCCAATTTGATGGTAGTCTCGAGACTGACACTGACAGTGGAAATGAGGATGACGACGACGAATTTGAGGTATGTTCTTACAGCCCGCTCAACCTTTCTAAGCAGTTCAGCGTTCACTATCTTTTCTCGCCCTAGCGACAAGAGACACCGCCGCATCTAAGACGCACCACAGCCAAGACGCAAAGTCCAAGCCCTGGTGCAGAGCCAAGCTCAGCAAGACACGGGACGAGATCATCGTCAAGGTCGGAGCAGTTATCAGTACAGAAGCTTTCTAAAGGTGGTGGTCTTGGTGTAATCGGAGGCAGGAAGAGACCACAATCGAAAGAGAAGACACCGCCCTCTTCTGCTTCAGAGGTCGACATCCCAGACCGGAGAGCCAAACCACCAGTACCTCCCCCCAGAGCAACAGATAGCGATGCAACCGCCTCTGAGACAGACGGAGACGACGACCTTTCTCAACCCCAACCACTGAAACTGAAGGCACCAGCACCAGTCAAGCGCGGCCTTGGAATCATAGGCGGCAAGAAGAAAGAGCAACCACCTTCTCTGCCATCATCTCCAAATCGGCAACCCTCTCAACCATTATCAGACCAGCTGTCTGAGTCAAAGACCCAGACCCCGCCCAAACGGACCGGCCGGTTGGGGGTGATAGGAGGTATTGCAGGCTCCACCAAGCGCACTGCGGAATCTCAACCACCAACAAACGCTGCGTCATCTGCCAAATTAGAACACTCGGATGATGCATCCGAAGGAGCCACTACAGAACTAGCAGACCCGCGAGCAGCCCGTTCAGTATCTCAGGAACAAAAGTCTGAATTGACACCACCCGCGGAACAAGAGAAAGAGGAGAGTGAACAGCAGCGGGCCGACAGGAAGCGGGATGAATTGAAACGACAACTCGAGGCGAAGGCCAAAGCTCCAGCCAAGAAGAAACGAAAATTCTGAACTTGGCTTTTCCGGAGACTACTAACTTGAGTTGAAATCATAGGACACAGTTTTGTGCTGGCTAGTTAGAAGTTGTTTTTTGGATAGGCCGGCGGCAGGAAGACCATTTCATGGGTCATCCACATTACTACTACAATGTAGGCGCATTATATTATGTACAGTCATCATTATCGACCCGTTGGGACTTCTGTCCACTGGCAAATCGAGGCTGGGTGCTAAAGTCTCACTTTACAAGATGAGACGACAGACAGAAACATGGAAAGAAAGATAGATCGGCTCAGCCTTCTGCCGATTCAATGGCGTCAGTCGCTCGTATGAATAGATTCAGTATTAATTGCTCAGCCCACTGCCGCTGCCACCAAAGCTTGTCCGATGGCCACTTCGCCGCGGCTTCCCTTGTTCACTAGGTGTCACTAGTCGCACCTTTTTGGGAGACATCGTGGTAGAGGAGGCTCCACTGGGCCCAGCGCTGGTGGTAGCCGTGGTTGAAGTGCTTCCAGCTGATGCACCAACCCCCAACATACCACGCACCTTCTCCACGGCCCTGCTTTCCCCCTTGGCCCATGTGTCTCGTTTGACAAAGCCTGCACCTGCTTTGCGGCCGGCGGAATCTCGTTTCTTGGACTCCTCTAGCAGGACAGACCGGTTGTGTTCACGGCGGGGCCCTGGACCACAGTCATGCATACACCCCGGGGTCGCGCAGCCACCCTCGCTGATGGATACATCACTTAGCCAAGTACTGATGCAAGCTAGATGTCCGCCGTGGCCGCAGCCTTGACACCACGTCCAGAGAGTGGCTCCTCTGGGCCGACACGGTTGAGTATTTTCGGAGAACATAGCGTCCATTTGCTGTAACTCGTATTGAGGTATAGATTCTGTCTCCAAGGAGGAATGCGAAGCGGACAAGGTATATGGTGATCCTGACCCAAGATCGGGGTGATCCGAGGACATTGATAGCTCTGCGACCCATTCTGGAGGAGGATCAACACTCATACAGATAGCACACGGATCCTGTGGGGTGTTGCAACGATAGCATCGTCCATTGTCACTCTTTGGGTTCTCATATGGCCGTTTGCATGAGAAACAGAATACGTTCATGTATGTGTCCGCCTGGGCATATTCGTACACTGCTGGGTAGGACGGCACGCAGAGGAGCCGGAGCTCGGCCGCCTCCTTGTACATTGACTGTCGTAATAATTGTTCGTTGTAGGCTTTGAGAATGAATTCCGTCTCTTCGCTGGGAAGGATCTTGTCGCATTCCTGAAAAAGAGCGCGCAACATTAGGAGTAGGTGAGCAGCAGACTGGATGTCAACAACAGCGCCACTATGATAGTGTCTGATCGCCTCCTTGAACAGTAGCTCAACACTCCAGGGCTTGTTAGGGGTTGTATCGGGAGTAATTGGAATGCTGACGTCCGAAAATTGTTTCAACACTCCAGAGGTGCTCTGAGCACTCCACTCATTGGGCCCTGATTGAGACCTTTCCTCTAAAGTACGAGACTCCAATGGTTGGCTCTCTTTGAGGAGCGGAGGGGGGCTGGACGGCCGGTCAAGATGAATAGTATCAGAGCCTGGAGGCTCTTCCTCGAACGACTCGCTGCTGAGCATTTCTGTCTCATGCGCAATGTCAGGATTTAGGATGGATGCTCCTCTACTCCTGGTTCTGTTATTGTTTGAAATAGGTATATCCACCTGCTCGCCTCGGCTCTCGGTCCCCGCTGCATCATGAAGCCTTGCAGCAGAATTAAGGGACGTACCCATGTATTTAGAAGGATGCGAACTTTCCGTTGATGCGGAGAACATTGGGAAGCTTTCTGATGACTCTTGACGATGAAACGTTGGGGGCTTGGCAGATTCCATCCGAGATTCCAAGGTCAGTACTTTTTTTGGATGCAGCCTGTAATCACGAATTGCCGCTCTTTTGTCCTCCATCTTCAAATCATAATCATCCACTTCAGAAGCGTCCTTTGAAATACCCGCAGGCTTTCTGATATGCCAATCTGTCCTGCCGGTGATGGCTCGTGGTGCAGATCGCTGGTCATCTGCCAGATCATGGGCTACAGAAGGACGCAAGAAATCAGGTGGTAAACTTTCAGGCGCAAAATGAGCGCCTTTATTTGCCTGCTCTCGACTCTCGTTGAAGTCGCGGATTGGCCGAGGATCAACGTCCGATACCGATGACCAATCATTTGAAGACATTGTCCCGATATTGGGACTCAGGACTGAGGCAGGAAGCGGTTGAATATCTGTAGTATCATTTAGGGACGTCATGTGGGATATTGAACTATCCAGAGACCCGAGTGGAGAATCAGGTAGGGGCTGCGCAAGCGGGGTGGTCATAGTCGAAGCACCCTCCGTATCAGTGAGAGGATGCTTTGATGTATCGCTCTCAATGACGCTCTTGATCAGCTTGTTCTTAAATTTGTCCTGTCGACCGTCTTCCAATGTCCGCTGCTTTTCCTCGACCGGCCCTTCTTTTGACGGGCGTTTCTTCATGACCCGAAGTCCCTTATCGAGCGAGGGGGGCTGCTGCTTCGCCCTAAGTTCAAGCTCCTGAATGACCGCGTACTGGATGACCCGCCAGGTCTGAGCAAGCTTGAATAAAGATATGTCTTCGGAGCACTGGGCATTGTGGCCAAGTGATTCAAGCAAAGACTGTATAGAACTCTTGGGAAGCATGTCAGGCTCATCGAGCAGAGGATGATAGTGCGAAGCTAGATACTGGTATGTATCCTGATCCAGTGTGGCTCCCGGGACCCCTCCAACAACCCCGAGCTGACGTACCTCTGGGGTTTTGATCTGAGACAATAACCTTTCCAGAGGGAGAATAGGAACAAGCTCCGATACACTCGGGGGAGTACTGCCTAAGGACTTAGACGGT